TAGATCAGACGATGAAAGCACTTTTGCAGGTCGACCACGTTGAGCCATAATTTTCTCGAACACTGAAAGGGTAGAAAACTGATCACTCTAGACTAACATATGCTATCGTGAGAATATTTAAATAAATGTGAGAACAAATTATTTAAATATTTAGCTCGTTTCCGTGTTTCTAAATAATCTAAAATAACAGAGTTATTTTAGCTTATTTAGAAACACTTCAACTTCGCTCTACGAGGTTTTTAAGCTATTGATATTAATATAAAAAATATGAGCGTATTTTTGAGAAAAATGAGGAAACAGCTTTAAAAAAACTTGTTTCCTCATAAATATATTGCTGTTACATCACAAATGAAAATTGTTTCAACATAAACCCCGAGTTGTTTCACAATAAAGTAGGGATTGTTTCAACATAATCGCTGACTGTTTCATCATATTCGTGGTCTTTTATCAAAATATGAACGCTATATTTTTTAAAATCGATCTATTATGCTGAGTACCGTAAAGCGAACAACTGAGTTAAATCGATGTTTTATTGCAATCTTGAGCACATCATCAAAACACAGTCGAGCAAGACCAGTTCAAGAAAAAATAAAAGTACTGCGACAGGACGCTTTCACTACATCACGCGAACAGCAGAATTTGCACGTTACAAAGAAAACAGTCAGGAAAAAGTTGAGTTCGTACAATCAGGCAATATGCCAACATTTGCAGAAGGGAAACCTGCAGAATTTTGGCAAGCTGCGGATCTATATGAACGAAAAAATGGCCGAGTCAGTTCAAGCTTGGTGATTGCGTTACCAAAAGAATTAAGCCAAAGCCAACGAATTGAGCTTGCCGAACAATTTATTATTGAACTTGCAGATCGCTATCAATTTCCTTACACCTGCTCCATTCATACTCATGCTGGAAGCTTAGGTGGCGAAGAACAACCCCACTTACACTTCATGTATAGCGAAAGACATGTTGATGAGATTGATCGCACTCCAGAACAGTTTTTTAAACGTTATAACCCTAAGCAACCCGAAAAAGGTGGTGCTCAGAAGCTGACTGCGGATGTATTAGGACTGGGTAAGGGACAACTTCAGTTATACAGAGAAAAGACCGAACAACTGATTAATCATAGCCTAGAGCGATATGCACCGACCAAGATTCTTGAGATAAAAGGGTTAAAGGTTGAAGTCCCTAACTTCGTGAGCTGCTTATCCAATGAAGATTACAACAAGAAATATGGAACAGCCCTTCAGGACGTTCCGATGATGAACAAAGCGATTCGCTATGCTAAACCAAGTGATTTAGAGAAATACCAACAAAAACAAGAAATGACCGCAGAAATTAACCGTATACGTGCTGAAAACCGCTATGAGTTATATAAACCGTATTATGAACTTGAGCTTGATAAACAAAGAAAATTAGAAAGAGAACAGCAGCATAATTATCAACAAACGCAAACTAGGGACAATGGTGGCCCTAGTTTTTAATTATTTTACGATGCTTGAATAGTCAGTTTTAAGCCAATGGCATTCACTACACGATTAATTGTATCAAAGCGAGGGGCTGAGTTCTGGCGTAATGCTTTATACAATGCTTCACGTCCAATACCAGCATCATTGGCGATTTGAGTCATTCCTCGTGCTTTAGCAA